TAACTATTGCACTGTGTTGTACAGCTGAAACTAATTCTAAAAAACGTGTATTTCATAATAAAAAATAATTTAATAAAAACAAAAAGAGATGCCCCCCTTCATGCAGCCATGAGCCCGTGGACTTGCAATGGAGCAGCTTAGCTACTGAGATGCTTTCTCATGCACCTGACCTTCCGCAGCCTCTTGTGAAAATCGGCAGCACGGCTCTGACCACAAGTGCCTCCGCGGGACTCTGGCACACTAAGGCCCCAAGCTGGACCAGCCTGGAGGTCTCGCTCCATTCATAATCTCTGAGCAGGTTGTGTATAGAATTCAGTGAGTCTGTCCATCTCTCTGTTAATGGCAGTCAGACATGGAAAGGTGATCTGGCCAGGAGACTCACTAAATAAATTTAGCATAAGTGTGTTCCAGAAAGTTCTCTCCCAGCCCTCCTTATCAGCATGGTCCCTCTGAACCAGCCCTAATACCCCATTGTGGGGACAGTGGCTCCCGGCTCAGTGGTCCCCTTGGAGATGGGCTTGGGCTTCTCACCCTCTTCTTTTAGGAAGCCTTCCTCCTGGCCAGTCCTGCCCATGGGCATTGATGGTGACAAGATTCAATGGGAGGTGTGCATGGTGCAGAAAAGGAAAACTGCAAACTGCAGGTGAAGGACCCTCCTTACCTGACAGGGGCTCCCCGGGACTGAGCAGGCTTCAGCATCACCGTGATGGTTGTGTCCGTTTCGTTCAGTGGGGTGTCTGTGTCATATTCGGGCATCGACGGAGCTGGGTAGAGAACAGAGGGGATGGAGCTTAGCACAGGTCCCAAACCCCACTCCTCACTTCCCGTCGATGCCATGCTTAAGGACGCTCCGGGTGGCTGGAGGGACGACGTTTGGGAAAGGGTTAGATGAGAGTCATGTAGCTTCCCACGTGATTTCGGCAAAGGAGACCCTGACTTCCAACCTGCTCATGGGTTTCTTCAGGGTGCAGAGGAGTCTGGGGAAAAGGGGCAGTGACGTGGCCAGTAACCCTCATGAATCCAAAAGTCCCACACTGAATAAATACTGATAAGTGCAGGAAATATAGGTACTTAACACAGATTTGAAAGCAGTCAACCTTGTTAAATACATTTAAAAATGTGAATTACAGCAATGATGAAGTAATTCCTCTTATCTTTTTTTTTTTTTTCCTCATGAGAGTCTCCCTCTCTCTCATTCCCAACCGATAGGAGTGTGAGTAAAATCTAATCCCTGGGGAAGGTAATCTAGCCATTCGTATGAAGAGCTATTATAATCCACATCCCTTTTAATTCAGTATTCCAATTTGTGGAATTTAATCCTAAAGTTATAATCCAAAACAGTGAATTAGACTTTATTCTGTAATGTTTATTGAAGCATTATTTTATAAAATCGTGGAAGCACCAAATATGTCCAACCACAGGGGAATGTTTAATTAAATTACGTCCATCCACTTGACAGAGCATTATGATGAAAGCGATGTAGCAACATGGAAAATGCTTATGGTATAAAGATAAGTGAAAACAATAAGCTACAGAAACACCATGGGTCTGCTCTGCAAACTATGTATGTATGCAGAGCAGAATTGCATCGGTATCCTGAAAAAAAAAATGTAATTTGCAAAAAAAGGGCTCTGAGGTAATTCTGCTTTGATGCTGTCTGATGACGGAGGGGGCCCTACTGGTGATGGCGGGTGAAATCTTAGATCGCCATGGCCATTTATTCATTCATTCATTCATTCATCAGGCGTTTCATGAGAACCTCTGCTGTGCCCTGCACCGCCAAAAAGAATATTCCTGAAAATAAATCACACTTTTACAAGCCAATCTGTATAAAAAAGAAAAATGTGCTATTTAATGCAACTGTGTGGCCCATTATTTGGTGGATCACTCAGTGTTTCCTCTGGTCTCGTCTAATTACTCTATTGGGTCGTCGGGAAAAGTCATGAAGTATTTTTCTATTATTTTCAACACAAAAATGCGTCACGGCTTTCCCGACGACCCAATAGTTTTTATACTTTAGGAAGTTGGTGGATTAGGTTTTCTTCATGAGACCAACATGAAAACCCATGAGGGGCTGCAGCATCCTGACAGATGCAATAGCACATGTGACAGTGGATTCTGGCCTTTTTCTTTCCCAGGAAAATTAGGACTAGGGGGAAAAAAACAGGAAAAAACAACACCCTTCTTCCTTTTCCTTTTCTAAGAGCGATACCTGAAATTTTGGTGGCGATCCTGGTGGTGACGGGGGGCCCAAAGCCCTTGGCTGTGCTGGCTTTGATGGTGAAGGAGTAGGTGGTCCCCGGGTACAGACCCACAAACAGGTGGTGGGTTTCATTCCGGAGCTTGAACACTTTCCCCCGCTGGCTGGAGAGGTCAGCACTCGGGTCCAGGGAGCCAACAGCTTTGTAGTTGATCTGCACGACAAGCCAGCAAACAAACCGATAAATGCGTCACCCAGGAAGCTGGATGGAGTGCAGCTGGAGGGATGCGAGCGGAGGAAAGGAGATGGCACGTGAGCTGGGTCAGCAAGGTCTGCTGTTGCTGTCCCCCTTACAGGTCACCCCCGCCTCCTAACACGCCACTGCTAACACCCTGGGGCAGCACTCGCTGTCCAATAGAAAGAGAATGCAAACCACACACAGGCCTTTCAATTTTTTCGTGGTCACGTTAAAAAAAAAAAAAAGTAAAATTCATTTAAACAATGTATCTTGTCGAACCCAATATATACACTATGGTATCATTTCAACCTGTAGTCAACATAAAGAGTTAATATTTTTATATTCACATTTTCATATTCATATTTTTAGAACAAGAATAAGTATATTCTATAAGTCTTAGACATCTAGTATGTCCTCAGCCGTTATAGCACACCTCCATTCGGACCAGCCACACTTCAGAAGGACAGTAGCCCCAGGTGGCCACCACATTTAACAGACCAACTACAGAGCAGTGGTCAAGGGCAGCATCCCATTAAGAATGATTTGGAAAGTTGGACAGCTAGTTTAAAATGCAGCTCATAGGTCCCCTACTTGACATGGTGCCGTCGGGTGCTTTCTCTTGCACCATCTTGTCTTCCCTGAGACCTTGGGGGCATCAGGATACTTGTTCTCATTTTAATGATGGAGAAACTGAGGCTCAGCTGGAAACAACTTGCATTCCATCAGCGCTTTTCGAAATAGTTCCAGTGCAGGCCCAGACTGGAGTTTCCTGATCCACTGCACACCCATAATAATCCAAAGCCCACATCACAGGTGACTCATCATGCGAGTATGGCAGTAACCAAAGTGGTCTATACTCTGTGTGCAAAGAGACATGTCCACTGACCATGCACTCGGGTGTCACAGCAATGTCACGGCACTACAGAAGCTTCTAGGTGCTCACTCTCAATTTCCACACTCATCCTGCTGTGAAACTCACAAAACAGTTGGCATCCTGGCACCGGTCCCCGTGGATCGCACCCTGAGTACCATGTTTCTAAATTAAACAGCTGTTAAAGTGGCAAACACAGGCTTTTTTTTGTTGATTTCTTTTATCTAGTTTGTTCTATTAAAACTATTTTATTAGAGTATAACACACATACAGAACACTACACACCTAAGAAAACTATACAGCTCTGTGAATTTTTATACACTGGACACAGCCATATAACCAGCACCTAATCAAGACAGAGAACATTGCCAGACCCTAAATCTTCCCCCATTACCCCTCGCAACCCTTACCTGCCTCCCCCGGCAAGGATGCCTTCTATCCTGACTTCTAAGAGCATAGGGCAACTCTGCCTGGTTTCAAACTTTATATAAATGGAGTCCTACAGGGTCTGGCTTCGTTTCACTCAACATTCCACCTGTGAGATGCATGCGGGCTGTCACGTGTAGCTGTAGATCATGTACTCTCATGGTTATTCAGTGTTCTACCACGGACGCAGGACTAACCCTTAGGTCCCTTAGGCTCTAAAACTGGTGCTCTTTATTCTCTGCCATACTGGCCATCCTTGAGATACGTTTCTTTAATTGAAGAATACATTCATTCATTCATTCATTCATTCGCTTGGTGCTCCTTCACAAATGTTTCCAGCATACTGCTGTGTACTAGGACCCGCACTGCGTGCTGCTGGGGCCCCTCTGAGTGAATAAACACAAGTTAGGCCCTGTCCTCAAGGGTCTCCTCTTCGAGAGTGAAGTAAGTCACTACACAGACACCTTATATCCCTTTGTCTTCCCTCAAGAATGTCCCAGGCACAGAAAAGGGAACACGCCAAAGTTACTTCAAAACCAAGCTGTTTGCTGTTTTTGGCAAAGGCATCAAATGTTTTGGAGAAAGAGGTAACTTCTCTCTCCTGTTATTAAGCAGCAGCAGTGTAGCCATTGATGCCACATGTCAGAGGCCCGACTGCCCGGAGCAGAGTGAGCCCAGGAGGAGAGCTGTATGGAGCTAAAGGACTTAAGCATTTTGCAAGCAGCCGGGGCAGGGGCACCCATCCTGCAGGTCTCCAATGGGCCTGGTCATAGCTCTCCCTCTGGTCACCCCTGGCCACTCCAGCTGTTCTCAGAGGCAGGCCTGCAAACATCTGTCTCTCTTTGCTTGAGGGCTTTTGCGTGGGTGCTGGCAGGAAGCGTCGACGCCCGTGACTGGCCTGATGGGAGCTGATGCATACATTTCCCAGCCTCCTCTCCCTCAGCAGCATCCCAGGGGCATTCCCTGAGGGCTGCTGCTCCGCCGGCCTCCAAAGGTAGCTGGCTGGAAAACACACCCATACCTGGCCACCCTCTTTTCTCTTCCTCACTCCCTAGTGTTTCCTAAACTTCTCAATAATCTGCTCAAATTCGAATCTTTGTCTCAGGCTCTGCTTCCGAGAAACGCCAAATGAAGACAAAGTGCTCGGGGAGGTACCTCAGGGGAGAACTGAACTAATACCGAGGATGACAGGGATTCAGAGCAGAGGAAAGAGTGTTCCAGCTTCTAGGTAGACGCAGCTGCCTGGGCAAAGGCCCGGGGCAGGGAAAGGCTTGTGCGAGCTGAGAAAAGTCCAGTGATGAGCAGTCGGGGGAGGTGAGCACTCAGCGTGCAGCTGGATTCCAGGTTTCCCCAGCGGCAGAAGGTACAGGTTCAGAGAGCTCTGCCTGTGGCAGAAAACCCCAGTCCGCCAGGGGAAAGACACACATGTGCATCCGTTTGAAATTCCTCCTCAGTCCCCCTGCCTGGGCTGGTGGCAACTACATTGATATACAGGCACTGGGAGGTAAAACTCATGCCTTATTTACTAGCCAGTTCCTTTCCTGCCCTCCAAATTCAATCCAGAAGAAACTCAATTTCCACTGAGCTGTCAATATAATATACCGTGTTCTCCTGCTCGCCTAACCTTTCCTGGTATAACAGAACCCTCACTTACTTGTAATGAAACACTATGAATAAATCAATGCATGTTAATATAGCGTGTCTTCAATTTTTTATGAAGGGCTTCACCAAATCTAATCCACACTGCTTTGTCAGAAACAGTCTTTGAAAAATTTAACTTGCAAGTTTTACGAATTCGCAACTTGGGGCGGGGGGCAAGGATCGGGCTGGGGAGGGAAAGAAGGAAGGTGAGAAAAACGGCATGGAATGGAGCCGTGGCCATAACATGCATAATGCAATGTGACCCTTCGTTTGGAACTGGAGAACGAGGGAGGTTTGCTTAGAATGGCAAACATAAAATAGTTAGTGGGGGAATGGGTGCAGAGGTACACATCCGTCCACCTTGGGCTGGGGGCTGGGGGCTCTGGCTGCAACAAAGTGATGGAGACCACCGGGTCCCTTTTGGTCGCTGTCAGTGAAACACCCCAGTCAGAAGCCAGAGTGAGGACTTCAAAATGAGAATCCAATGACGTCACGACTTAGACTCAAAAGAGCAATGGTTCCTCACAGCTCGGGGTTAAGGCCACATTCTTATCCTATGGTCTTAACCAGCTCGCTGCGTGAGCTGGCTCCTCTTGCTCTCCCTCTTGCGTTCTAGGCCTTATGACAGTGTCTAACAAGAGCCACAGGTCCTTTGCACGAGCTATTCTGTCGGCTCAGAATGGGTTTTTCCTTCCCATGCCTCCCCTTCACCTCGTTTGGACTCCTCATCCTTAGCTCTCACTTAAAATGACACTTTCCACGAGCAACTTTTCGCACTCCCACGCCCTCCGATTTTGTGTTCTCAGAATCACATCTCTCCTCTTTGAACCACACATTTTACATTTAGCCATGCAATTATTTCATTCATGAGTCCCTTTTCCAATAGCACAGGGGTTGAAAAAATAAAGCCTGAAAGCCCAATTCGGCCCATCATCAGTTTTTGTAAATAAAACTTTATTGGAACACAGCCAAGCCACTCATTTATGTATTGTCTATGGCTGCTTATACCCTAGAACAGCAGAACTTAGTTGTGACAGAGACCCTGTAGCCCATATGCTCTACAACAGCCACTCTCTGGCCCTGAATAGAAAGAGTTTCCTGACCCCTGTCCCCCTCTTCCTGATCCCCTCCTCTTCCTAGACTTTAAGCTCCAAGAGGGCAAGTTTGTCATCTGGTTTTTGTTCCACTTTTCTTTCCCTTCCATGTAGAAGTGAATGATCAAACTAGCTATGTGGCTGGGGCAATTTGCTTAACCTCTCTGAGCCTCGGGTTCTTCAAGGGTTAAATAATAAGTTTAACTTCAGTTTCTGTCTCGATTTACGTTGTAGAGTGACGTCCAGCTTCCTTACTCCTGAAAGGCAGCCCCCTTGTTCAGGAGTAAGGCTCCAGAGAGTCCATGAGTGGCTTTAGCCTTTGCATCAAGGCTTCAGCAGCAACGGACCAGGGGACCAGCAGCCCTCTACCCTGAGCTGAAGAGGAGGGGTGAGAGAGGCAGGGAGAAGAGGAAATGACTTCCCTTGGAGAGTCCCTTCAGGAAGGGCATGTTTGTTTCTTGAACACGCGTAGATTGAGCCGTGCTGTGCCCCAGGTGCCAGGCTCGGTACAGGGTAAGACCCAGCGGCTCCATGTTAAGATAGAGCAGCTGACAAGATTCGGGTCCTGAGGAAGAGATGGTGCATGTGGTTCAGGGAAGATGCGCGATCAAGTACGGATGAGGGAAGTGACCGGGACTCAGAAGCAGGTGGTCAGAAGACGCAATCGTGACAAAAACACCATTTTGGAGCACGGTGAGAGTGGGCTCACATAAAAAATTCTCCTCTTTTGATCCTCAAAAAAAAAATTATGGATTTTTTATGGTTATTCTCATGCTTCAGCTGAGGAAACTGAGGCCAAAGGAGGTGACGTGCTCAAAGTGTGAGCAGGGCTGAGGGCAGCTACATGTGTGACCCGGCAGCGCGCTGGAAAGAGACGGTAACCCACAGTTCAGGAAGTCTTCTCTGCTGTGTCACCTTCACCACAGTGGTGCCATGATGGGACA